TAGCTTAAAAGAGAAACCGGTTTTAAATCACGTGAAACAAATTCGGTTCCTAAATTTACAACCGGTTCCGACCTCTAGTTATTACTGTATTTGTAAAAAATTATATTTTAATTCATAATTTCATACAGAAAGTAATCCATTAATCTTTGCTGTAAACTTACATGTTGTCCTAATTTTTGCAATCTGTCAAAGGAGAATTCACTATCAAAAAGAAGATCAAGATGCGAACACTTGATACACCTATAAGTATAAAGCTGGGTGCAAATTCCCTCCAAGATTTATCACAGCTTGTGATAATGTTAAACTTGTGAATTGTAATTGCCCAAGTAAGGCACAAAGGAAACTGAATGTGGGAACAAGTTCCAGACTTTCATTCCAAGGTATATTTAATAGGTCGAGTCGGATCCATATTTTACCAGAATAACTGTAAGCAGTGAAGGATTCCTTAAATAGGACAATAATTATGCCTAATATCGGCTACAATGTCATGAAACGTTTTGAGAAGATTACGGTCATTATCAATAAGTGACAAACAGGTGACGTTTTATTTTTTAAAATAATTTAATACATATCAGACATTATTTTTTTTCACAAACTTAATTTAAAAATTGTACTTTTATTTAAGCATCTGTTTGTTTGTCTTGATTTATATTCTCTTTCATTTTATTATTGGTTGTCAACTGATATTTATGGAGAGTCTGTCTCTTTTCTGATATGCTTTTTCAATAAGATCTCTTTATTTAAACATTATGAAGATACATATGGGAGTAGTGCTCCACTTCACAATTTTCTCTTCTACCTTATAAAAAAAGTTTGTACAGAATATGTCATACTTTTGTTAGGCCTTATACAGTTTTTGTTCAAAATGGAGGCAATATTGTACGATACTTGTATCGAGGAATAAAAATAGAAAAATTGAGTTATTGATAATAGTATAAAAATATGCAGTAATATAAATTTATCCAATAATTATATAAAATAATTGTATAAAAATATATGTGATTGTTCAACTAGAAGCAATATTGTACGACACTTGTATTGAGGAATAAAAATAAGCAAAAATTGAGTTATTGATAATTGTACAAAAATGTATAGTCATATAAATTTGTCCAATAATTATATACTATAATTGTATAATAATATACGTGATTTATATTCATTATTAACTACAGTATTGTTATGATTTTATCACAATTACATGTATAAAAGTTGTTAGATAATTACAACTTTTGTAATATGTTTCATGGGAATATCTGAATAATTAGAACACTGTAATTGTTTATTTCTTATAAGATAACAATTTGAAATATTAAATTTTTATACAGAAATTGTTTATAATTACTAACTGCATAAAATCTATAAATTGACTAATAATTATGTGGTAATATCTATAATATCTATAATTATGTAGCTTTTAAATTATTTATTGTCATTCATCACTATCTACCTCATTGTCTACTATATAAAATAATTTCAACAAAACCTACACAGTGATCGATAGTTGTTGCATTAATAAATGCATATGCTCCTAATTGACTAAATTTTTTTACATCAACATTATCCTCTTCAACAGATGATGTTCACTGGATATAGGCTAACATTACTTTAGATTCTTCAAATTCATAAACTAAGTAATATTCAACAATAGCATAAAAATCTTGAACTTTAAATACTAATAATCGGTTCAGATAGTTCACATAAATATCTACTTCTATTTTAACCATAACTGTATAGTTAACACGTGACCAGTCTTTATTCCGACAAATCCACTTTGACCCAATATAGTGGCCATCTTTAGTTCTGAGCCGTCCATATTTTGTTCCTGTTCTGCTGAAAGATATAAGCTGTAGACCAGATACATCAGATGTAGTAGAGAAATGTTCTTTGATTTTTCTCAATTCACTTTGTGTTAAATGCTGAAGGAAAATAGAAATCTTCGCCACTTTCTCCTGTATAGGCTAGATGTTCATCATGTATTTTTGGTGGAATTGTTAGAAAAATTTGATTATAGATTGGTTTATTAAACTTTAAACAATTAAAAAGTTCTAGCAAATGAATGTTATTGATAAGATTTTTGTATGGGTGTAATCTTGATCTTGTTAGTGGAAGCAACATTCCACATATCCTTTCAATCGGATATTGCCATGTTATACAGAAGGGACCTGTTTCAAAAATACTTTCTGATATGTGCAACATATTATGAATAGACATCTTCATTGCACTTAAACGATCTAATTGTCCACAGTAATATTCTTTTTCATAATGTACATAAAATGCTAACAAATATGATTGAATTTTGTATAAATCATTAATTGTTATTATTTGTTTTTTACATAGCCGAACGGCCTTTACAAACAAACTCCAGCCTTCATAATATTTTTTGGGAATATAATTTTTAAGAAATGGGGTCTTTGCCTTGAAAATGACCTTACGATACATGATACCGTAAGGTCATTTTCAAGGCAAAGACCCCAAATGGCAATGAATACATTGTGATCCAGAAGGACTATTCTTCAGCTTTGTAACTATTATGATGCAATACAATATTTCGCAATGGTCGACCAAGATTTGATGAAATAGATTTTCTAACTAAATGCATATTTTTTCTAATTTTATCTCATGCTTCTTTGCTTAAAACATATTCACCATTATTTAAACTTTGATCCGTGAAAAAAGAACCCATCCAATGATAAAGCATATAACCTGCAATATACTCATAAAATAAGTGCATAATGTCTACTGGGAATGTTTTTGGAAAATTGGTAGTATCAAGATTAAACAAAATACTTTTTTAGAAATGCCATAACACCTTATAGCTTGATTTTGTTCTGATTTTGTTTGAATTTCTTGTATTCTTCTTTTAAACTCATTATGAGTTCTAAGTGGCAGATTTGCTGGATCATATGTTTTACCTTCTTTACCTCTTGGTGGTTTAGTAGGATAATATACATGAGAAGAATAAATACCTACTATGTTACAGTAACGGCATTCACTATATGAATTATGTCCTGTAAGACCCATTAATTTTGTAAGTGCAGGCATATCACCAGACCAAGACAACACACAACCATGCAATATAAATTTATCTTTGCAATTAGCACTTGAACATTCTACACCTTTCTCTAACATGTATAATTCAGAAATAGCAGGTAACAAGAAAGAATTTAGATCTTTTGGTTCCTTAGAGCCAGGTATTACTATAGAAATTAAAAGATTTTCTTTTTTTAACTCGCTGGTCAGGTGGTAAATTAGCATTTATGAACAACAAAATCCAGCAATCATCTGTTTTTTGTTTAAAGATTTGAAATCCATCAATTGATGCTAATAATGCAATGTCATGTTTTTCTCTAAAATATCCTTTTTCTACTAAATATTTATAGCATTGACTATCAAATACATCTCCAATCTTTTCATCATACCCGTATTCTGGTCTTGATATATATTCTGAACGATATAATAAATTTTTTGCTTGTACTTCATCCTGGTATTGAATAATTATATGATCAATAATTGAAAAGTATGCAAATTGGCAGTGTGATCTATTTTTTTGAGATCCATCTTGATACTATTTTTCTTTACAAAATGGGCACTCTTTAAGGTTGCTAAAGCTATTTGTATAGGCACAACAAGTATTAATACACATATCTATCCATTTAGGCTTAAATGGAATTAATGATAATAATTTTTTTTTGATTAAATGTAGACTTATTGGTTTTTTAACTACAGTATTCATAATCTCACGAAAAACTTCATCAGTAAGATTGTTCTGCACTTTAATTTTGAAGAGACGAATTATAACAGCAACTTCAGAAGGTATAAAAGGTATACTTTCTATTTAATAGAAAATATATATATTATTTAAAGAAAAAATACAAGTCGTATTATACTTTAAAATACTACCTTCATTGTCTTCAAAAGTTGTAGAACTTATATCTGTTATACATGAATCGTTATCATTACTTTTTGAATCACTCTTAAATTCAGTATCGCTTTCTAATCCACTTTCAATTCTATAATTACTTTCTTCAATTTCATTATAATTTATTGACTCATTTTCAAATAAATCATCACTTCCTAACTCATTTTCAAATTCATCGCTACTTCCTAATCTATTTGCAAATTCATTATTATTCCCAAAGCAATTTTCAAATTCAGTATCACTCTTTAACCGGCTTATAAATCCATTAGTACTTTCTAAGTAATTATTAAATCCATTGTTACTTTCTAAATCATCCTCAAGTTCTTGAGAGTCTTTTCTCCAATTTAATTTAACCTTTGATGATTCCTGATCAGAAACGTATGGTGAAGATATATTTATTATTGGATTTTGAATATCATTTTGTGGTGTAGAATCACTACTAGAACTTTGATAATTTCATTTATCACATTGCTGATGCCGAGTTCTAGCACTTTTCAATACTAAAGATCCACCACAATTGTTTAATGAACATATTTGGCAAGTACACCAAACCCACATTTCAGGCATAATGTTAATTTATTTGACTAAAAATTGACAAAATTTTATTTTTTTCTTATTTATACTTATTTCGATATTACTAATCAAATAAACTATTCGTATCATATTTGTGTAACATCTTAATTTTTTCCTATAAAAGAATAAAAAAATTTTTTTTTACATCTTTTACAGTAATAAAATTGAGTTATTATACATACGTACAAATGGGTTATAAAAAAAATAAACCAAATAAGAATAAACAGAAAGTAATTACAAGTGACGAAGAAGAGTCAACACACTATGTAGCAGAATTTGATAACAGAAATGAGCAAGACTCAAATACTAGCGATAAGAGCTATTCAACAACAAGCGAAATTTCAGCTTTACTTAAACGACTAGAAACTTTAGAGAAACGTCAGGTTGCTCATAATAAGAAGGCAAAATCTCAAAGATTTGATACAAATTCCGATGATACTAATAATGATGTACCAAAAAAAAAAGAAAGAAAACTAAAAAGAAAAGTTATAGAAAAAAGGATACTTCAAGTTCAGAATCAGAAAGTACTAGTGATGAGGTTTTTATTATACACGTATATTTGTTAATTTTTGACTAATATTAGTATTTAATAATTAATCACAAATTTGGTTTTATGTTTTAAAAGTTAGCTCCAATTGAAAAACCAAATGAAACAACATATATCGATATCCCTAAAGCTCTTAACTTGGACAAGGCTATGTACAATAGTTATCGAGTAATATAATAATAATTATTATTATTACTGTAATTTTATCTTATTTTACTCTTTTTAATGGTTATTTTAGGAATCACTTCTTTTGATAATTACAGCTAATATGAAATAGATGTTCCTGAGTTTTGAAGAATACCAGAAAATGAAAAAAGTGAAATTATTAGAAGGGCAAGTAAAATTATTTTTTATTAATTTATTAAGTGAACTTTGATTTTAGTTTAAGCGCAAGAACCCAAAGTTTTCTCCTACTGCTTGTGATTGGGCTATTCGACGAATAATGCGAGGAATTATTAACAATAAACGTATGTATATAAAAGTATATTATATAAAGTAAAAATATAAACTAAATAATTTATTTTTAAATAGGAGATACTGAAAAATGCAAAAAGAGTATTCGTTCATTTTATGATAACAAGAAAAAAAAGACAGGTAATAAAAAATGATTGCAATTGTTGACTTCTATGATCTTAACTATCTACTGAAAATAGATAATACCGCCTTTCAAGTTCCTGCCTATACAACATCAAATGAAACTCTTGGAGAATTTGTGGCCAGTCTTGAGCTTAATGTATGTAAACTAACATATTATTTCATACAAAAAAATAACTTTTTATATTATATATCTAGTCTATCGATCAAGATCAACCCTTAGAAGCTGTTTAAACCTCAAGTTCAGTAAATAATACGAAGAAAATTCGCACAACTTCATCTCATACTCCATTAACTACCCTTCGACATCAAAATACCAATTGTGAAATCCAAGATAGAAATCCAAGTGATGCTATTGAATCGTCAGACAGATCTAGCAAGATGTTCCAAAATGCTGATCGCAAACTACGTAACCATACTTCCAGGTATATTAGTTTATGGAATTTCAAAATAATTCGATAAATAATTTTATTAAAAATGTAATATTACATAAATAGGGTACATGCACAGACTAGAGAAATTAGAAAAATTACAAAGGCTACAAGCATGGAAGACAATACATCAACTAAAGGACGATCTTCAAAGATGTCTAGTAAATCAAAAGCTAATGGTATGAGATGATCAAATATATTAATAGATATATAAAGTATTGATAAATTGAAATTAATTCTAACTTTTTCTGTAGGAAAAACGAAGAATTAAATATAGATTCATGGAATTACAAGAAGGTGGTTACTCAATTAATCTCTAAAAGATATTCTGCATGCTTACCAAATTTGAAAAAAATTGGGTTCGTTAACAATTAATCTTACAAATGGCAAAACATTATATTATAATGATAACTTATCAGAATTTCGATTGTATGTAATCTGCATGGATTTAATAAATTATTTGTACAAAAATTGAATAAAATAATGATTATATATGTATTATTCTGTGATAATGGTGAAATATACAGTATATTGAACATATTCAATTAGTATACTTATAACAATAAAGGATATTAATTACACAACTTTGTGACATTAATGAGTCAAATATTAAATAAAATTATTAAAATATATGCACGAAATCATATAAAATATTGTTCAAAATTTTGTTCGGAAAATCGACTCCGTTCCGAACAATTATTTGAACAAAATTTGAACAAAATTTGAACAAAACACTGAACATACAACTAAACAATTTTAGAATATTTATTGAACAAACTTTTTTTATAGGGCTATCATGACATACGTACATTGTGCTCTTTAATTTCTATTACATATTTCTTTTATCAATTTGCTACTATATATGTTCTATATCAATATGTCCACGTGAACTTGCTCACGTGACAAAGTATAAAAGTACGAGCCTACGCTATGTCATTTTTATTTTTTTTCGCCCACACTATGGTGAGACGCATTCAACTACTACACATGACAACTGGCAGCGTATTTGTACAACGAATTTGTAAGGGGGGTGCGGTGGGTCAAGTACAAAGAAACAAGACAAGCGAAGTAAGAAAGCACTAAGGTTTCCAATTTTCTCCCATGCGTACTGTAATTACTGTAATTACGGATTATACAAAATGAGTGAATCTCTTTTTTCGTGCACCTACCTGCATATCTACAATCCCGATCATATGAATATTCATGCGAAGTGATAGTAGATCACGTGAACGAAGCCACACGACGCCTCAGCCTCCAGCCTCGGAATGCCCGCACATGTGAAGAATCAATAAGTGTGGGAAATTCACACGCGGGCATGAACAACACATATGTCAATGACATGTTCGTTGGGCGCAAACCAAGAAGAAACAGGAATGAGCGCTAAAATAATCAAATGAATATAAGAACCAAAGAACGACTGAAGCTGGTCGATCAATGATAGAGCCGAAAATTCTTGCGACCCAACCTACCCACTCCTAGATGAGGAACACGTGATTCTATTATCTCTTCGCTCAGCCAGCTCGCTGCGGCGAGCGGGAAACCACCGGCTGCTCCCACGGCGACCCCCAGTGCAATCTCGATTGCTATTTCGCGGGTGGTCATTGCCGTTCCGGCCAACTTGGCCAACTACTCACTTTGCTATTCATGTATTCTGCTAACTTTTCAATAATAAATCATCCCGGCCTAAATTTTTGCCGGCATAGTCCGAATACATATGTGTCGTGTAACGTGATTCTTTTCGTAATCTCAATCACATGCATATCTATAATCTCTATCGCATACAATCGAATGCATCTCTATTGTCTTACCCATACAAGCCTCAGCGCATATACCTTAATTCATATAAGCCACAAATGGTAATCCTCGCGATAATAACCCTAGCGTGACTTCGTCAACGCATAGGGCTATTTTCAGTCATTGGACTTTTTCGCTTCCTTCTCGATCCATTTCATATAGCTACTTGTTCAGGTGGTGTAAGTTCTTTTTGTTTTTGCATTTTAACCAATTAAAAAAGGACATAAAGGTTTCTTTTATATATTCAAAATATTTGCTTACGATACAATGACATATTTATAATTTTCTAACTGCTAAACGATTTATTAATTTTTTTTTATAATTTATAACACGCTGGCATATTTTATTATATTCTATCGGGTTTACTATTCTGCACCATAGATAGGTGTTCAACACCATAGGTCCCTATTTCTCGAAAATGTACTAAGTAAACGAGATCGGGTATTCTAAGTAAAAATGCTCAGGACCCCAAAAACCTGATGAAAACTAAAATTGAAATCTTATATCTAATATACATTATAATATAAAAAATAAAAAATCCCTAAAATTGCACCCTAACTCTAAAAATGGTGCACAATATAATATCTGTATTCTATTAAAGTCAGCTATTATATTTAACCAATCCTAATTTAGGCTCAATTCTAGTTATTGAACCTAAAATTTGGGTCAGGTTGAAGCGGGAGCCGAACATTTCCGAAAATTCAGTAGAGTAGTTGAAAGGCTTTCACCTCGCATCCCTCATCTCCAGCCAATAAGCCATCATCTCTGCAGATTTTTGGTAATAAATGTATGCTTTATATTCATCCCTTTCAATCCCAATACCATAAAGATAACAATTTCCAACTTCTCTTATTCCACTAACATTTCCCATTTCTGCAGATTTTTGATAATAGATAAATGCTTTATATTCATCCTTTTCAACTCCAATTCCATATTGATAACATCTTCCAATATTATGTGTTCCTCTAGCGCAACCCATTTCTGCCGATTTTTGATAATAAATGAAAGCCTTATGTTCATCTTTTTCAACTCCAACTCCACATTCATAATAATATCCAATATTATTTGTTCCTCTGCCGTCACCCATCTCAGCAGATTTTTGAAAACAAATAAATGCCTTATTTTCATCCTTTTCAATCCATTTACCGTAATGATAACAATTTCCAATAATGATTTGAACTGTAGAATTGATTTGATCATCTAAGCAAAAATTTATAATATTAACTGGATTTTGCTTCTTATTTATTAAAAATTGTTCTATTTTATCAAGAGCTGAACGGGGATAAAAGCCTTTCAATTTTTCCTCATTATATAGATTACATATTTCATTAACAATTTCATTAATCGAATCCTGTGAAAAATCTTGTAACTTGTTATCTTCTAAATGTAATTGAGTAGCATTATTGGTTATTTGAATGTTATCTGATAAACTGCTGATTTTATTCGACTGTTCTTCAAATTGTTTCTTATAAATTGACATTTTGACGCAAGAAGGAATGTGTTACGTACATATGTACTCACATATGGAAGCGCCATACTTATTGAAGATACGTACGTATCACAATGTGCCACATATACGGTTGTATTGTAACTCTTATCAACAAATTAGGATGTTATGCAAACAATAGTATTTATTATTATTATTATTATTATTATTATTAAAAAATAAAAAAAATAGTATTGACTTAATTATATCCATTTATAATCTAGAAATTATTGTAAATATTACATGACAAGGTGAAAATTTAGATCATTTAGGACGAGATTGAACTAACGGTATAATCAAGCACATACTAGATTAATGGTGACAAAACTTTCGTTATTGATGAATTACGAAACCTTTCATCAAGCTGATTTTTAAGTGTGAATAACAAAACTTATGACGAATAGTGAAACCTATGACAAATTCTGTGAAAAATGATGAAGCATATTAAATAATTTTATAATCGCATACAAAAATGAATTAAGCCGATATTTACAAATAATAAAATAGTAATCTAATATTCTACGTGTAGTTATTTTGTTTTATTGTTATCTACGTATTAAGTAGAGTTTTGCAAATTACATGTATGGTAATTTTATTAGATATCAGATATATAAATTATCCCATACAACATATGATATTTATGTTAAGAAAAATCCAAAATATTTCAACTATAGTACAAACTGCTATTAATCTCATACATATCGTATCGTTCATGCAGTTCTACTCTTAATTAAAATTTTGAAATTTTTTACTTATTAATTCTGACCCAAATTGATAGGTTGCATTTTCACAATACACCCACATAAATTTAATCTCAAATAGAATTTTTTGATACCAGTATTGTTTAATCAGATCTCCAACCCCATTTCTACAACATTATACAGTACTTGATATACCATTAACGCAAACCGTTTCTACAGATTTTTGATAATGAATGAATGCCATAAATTCATCCATCCTTTTCAACCACAATTCCAACTTTTGACATTTCATCAACATACCCCATCTCTGCTGATTTTTGAAAATGAATAAATGCCTTATGTTCATATTTTTCAACCCCATTTCCGTATCGATAACCAAGAGCGTCACCCATCTCTGCAGATTTACGATAATAAATAAATGCCTTATGTTCATCCTTTTCAACTCCAATTTTATATTCGTAACAATATCCAACCATATATGCATCATTAGCACCTCCCATTTCAGCGGATCTCTAAACTCCAATATCATTGAGATAACAAAATCCAACTTTATGTGTCCCTCCTGAATATCCCATTTCTGCGGATTCTTGATAATAGATGAAGGCTTTCTGTTCATCTTTCTCAACACCAATTCCTTTATTATAAAAATATTCAACGCTATTTAATCTAATAGTGTGACCCATCTCCGCAGAGTTCTGATACTAAATAAATGCTTTATTTTCATCCATTCCCGTAACAATAACAACTTGCAAGGATGATTTGATTTGATCGTCTAAACAAAATTTATGATATTAATTGGATTCGCATTGCCTTTATTAAATATTGCTCTAATGTATCAAGAGCTGAACGGGAATTTTTGCTTCTCAATTTTTCTTCATTATATAGATTATTACAGCCTGTTATCTTCTAAAAATAATTGAGTAGCGGTGGCGTTATTGTTTGTTTGAATAATATTTGATGACTACAGATTTTTCCGGCCACTCTTTAAATAGATCATTACAATTTGCCATTTTATCGTATGAAGAATGTCTTACGTAAATAATAGGAAGAACCGCATTTATTGAATATGTGTACATATTTTCGCACGTACGTACGTGCGTATTGTAACCTTTATCCGATATTATTTACGGATATGATAGAATATCTTAGGAATAATATAACCATTTATGACATTCAAATACAATTTTGACATTTTTTCAGAATGTTCTATAGAATAGGTGGTAAACTCCGCAACTCCGCTAAATTTCTATTAATGATTACTAATCATTATCGGAGTTTATTTTTTATATTGCCCATCTATTCTATAGAACATCTATTATTTTATGAATAGTTACTGTCATGTTTACAATTACTCATTTTAAATGTAAGTTTGTAGTTTGGCAAAAAAACATATTTAACAAATTAATGAATATTTATTTCCGGAGCAGAGCGGAGGATATAAAGTCCAGACAATAGGCAAGAAAAAAATTCCGAGGGTTTCGGGTGTAGGATAATAAAATTTTCAAATTACCACTACTGTATCTTCAAATTGATCAGAATAATATCATTATTGTAGCTATTATCACTTAGTAATATAGTATAAATATCGCTCCTTAAATTTAACTTGGGTTTCGGGTGTATGATAAGAAAATTTTCCAAATTACTATTTCGCCCAATCGATCAGAATTATAGCAGTATTGAGTTATTGTTACTTAGTATATGACATATCATTCAAATTTAAAAGTCTATACTTATCGCTCTTTAAATTTGACTTAAATTCTAATTTTGATAAAGTAAACTCGTAATAATGGTTTAATTTAATCTTACGTAATTATGGGTATAAAATAAATACTATATGAGAGTAATAAATCGGTATAAAATTTTATTTCTTTATCAATTGATTGCAATTTTCCCTAATTAGTTAAAATGAACGTTGAAGATGTCAATGTTAGTAATGTTAGTGATCAAGGAGGGAGAAACGCAGAAATTATCGAAAATAATGATGTGCTTGCATGTGACTGTGTGAAAATTGGAAAAAATGATGTACAGAAACTGTTGAGGAGCGAGAAATATGCCTTGAACGTAGGCCCAACTAATGGGAAAAAAAAAGAGAGATTCGGAAACTATCAAGAAAGAAAAGAACGCATTGAACATAGGTGTAACCAATGAAAAATGAAAGTGGATTCAGAAATAAATGAAGATTAGTTTGTTCTCATAATCTGGCCGATTCATTTTTATGAATATACTTTTTAAATTATGTATTTATTCTAGCCGAGTTAAAGCTGCTATAAAAATTCTAATATATTGAGAGCTAATTATTTAAATGATCTAATTATTTAAATTCTTGTGATCTAATAAGTTAGAAAACAATTCTTTAAATAATCAATCACATTATTAATTTAATTCATAGTGTTAAATTGTATTTAAAAACTGATTTTAATTTTACAAAGTAAAGCATTCTTACATTTTCGTTGATAAATAAAGATAAGTATATGATAATTGTGCATTTACACTAAACGATTTTTTATTAACATCTTGCAAATAAATAGATTTCTCGAAAATTTGATTGCAATATATGAAACGGCGATCCGGAATCCAATGGATCCCGTTTTTCTAGTTATTATTTTATTTACTGGAATCTCACTGGAAAAAATTAATAATGCCACTGGAACTATTACTATTGTAAATTCTCACCGGAAAATCAAAATTTCCCAACTAATAACTTTATTTACTATCAAATCATCTCATTTATTCACAAAATTAAAGTGCCGGATCTAAAAATTATTAGCTCATAAGAGTTCTTAAATATTTACTATCAAGCGATTTAATTCACATTATCGAATGTACTAATTTCTGATTTCGTGAATATTTGCCCTTAATTTGAAAGAGTTTGATAGAAAGTAAACATGTAAAATAATAACTGGATGGGTCGAAAGCGATTGTTAAAGTTGGTCACGATACCCATTGTCCATTATTCTACATGTAGATGTGGTAATTAAATACTGAAATAAGTGCAAATGTATGTAAATAATATCGCTATGGACGATATTTAGATTAACGGTTCGAATTAAGCTTACACTGGAATAAAATTTGAATTACTGCATAATAAAATTTGGCTTTAATACTATTTTTTGCATTTAATTTTTTTTTTTTTGTTAATGAAGTGTTTGTTACAGAATAAAATATTTGCCATTAATGTTTAACACAAAAATAAACCAAATATTTTTCTCTACGGTACGTACGTTCGTACTTGTCATTCTTTTATCATCTCTACAGATTTTTGGTAATAAATGTATGCTTTATACTCATCCTTTTCAATCCCAATTCCATAAAGATAACAATTTCCAGTTTCTCTTATTCCATAAACATTTCCCATATCTGCAGATTTTTGATAATAAGCGAATGCTTTATGTTCATCTTTTTTAACTCCAATTCCATATCGATGACAATATCCTAGCATATATGTACCTTTATCATATCCCATTTCTGCTGATTTTTGGTAATATATGAAAGCCTTATGTTTATCTTTTGCAACTCCAATTCTATTGAAATAACAATATCCAACCTTATATATCCCTTTTGCGAATCCCATTTCTGCAGATTTTTGATAATAGATGAATGCTTCATATTCATCTTTTTCAACTCCAATTCCATTTTGATAACAACTTCCAACATTAAATGTTCCTCTAGCGAAACCCATTTCTGCTGATTTTTGATAATAAATGAAAGCATTATGTTCATTTTTTTCAACTCCAAATCCATATCGATAAAAATAACCAATATTATATGTTCCTCTGGCGTCACCCATCTCTGCAGATTTTTGAAAATAAATAAATGCCTTATTTTCATCCTTTTCAATCCATTTACCGTAATGATAACAATTTCCAATAATGATTTGAACGGTAGAATTAATTTGATTATCTAAACAAAAATTTATAATTTTGCTTCTTATTTATTAGAAATTGTTCTATTGTATCAAGGGCTGAACGGGGATTTTTGCCTTTCAATTTTTCTTCATTATACAGATTACATATTTCATTAACAATCTCAATAATAGAATCCTTTGAAACATCTTGTAACTTGTTATCTTCTAAATGCAATTGAGTAGCACTATTGGTCATTTGAATGATATCAAATTGCTTATTATTGTAAATTGACATTTTAATGCAAGAAGGAAAGAGTTACATACATACGTAATTGCACCATACTTTTTGAAGATACTTATGTATCACAGTGCACCACATACATCAATATTGTAACTCCTATTAAACAAATTAGGATGATATGCAATCATAGTAATAATTATATTACATATACTTTTTATAAAATAAAAAAGCAAAGTATTAACTTAATTATATCTATTTTAATCTAGAAATGATTGTAATTATTTACATGTCAAGGTGAAAATTTAGATCATTTAGGACAAGGTTGAGCTAATGGTATTCTCAAGCACATCCTAGACTAATGGTAACGAAGCTTTCGTTATTTAGAATGGCAAAACCTTTTATCAAGCTGATTTTTAAGTGTGAATAACAAAACTTATGAAGCATAGTGAAACAAAATCTATAACAAATCCTATGAAAAATGACGAAGCATATTAATAATCGCATATAAAAATGAATTAAGCTGATATTTACAAATACTAAAATTGCAATAGAATTCTGTACATGTAGTTATTTTGGTTTATTTTTTATCTATGTATTAAATAGAGTTTTGCAAATTTTATGTATGGTAATTTTATTAAATATCAGATATATTACTGTAAATTGTCCTATACAACATATGATATTAGTGTTTAGAACAATCCAAATTATTTCATCTACTTCTATTAATCTCATACATATCGTTCACGCGGTGCTACTCAATTACAGTAATTTTGCAAACTTTACTAAGATCAGGCTACTCAATTACAGTAATTTTGCAAACTTTACTAAGATCAGGTGTAACGCTTAATTAAAATTTTGAATTTTATACTCATTAAATCACCTTCACAATACACCCACATAAATTTAATCTCATATAGAATTTTTTGATCCCAGTATTGTTTTATCAGATCTCTTATTATTCAAATCCCATTTCTACACATTACACAACACTTGACATACCATTAGCGCTAACCATTTCTACAGATTTTTGATAATGAATGAATGCCTTATACACATCCTTTCAACAATAATTCCATAAAGATAACTATTCCAACTTTTGATGTTTAATTAACATACTCCATCTCTACAGATTTTTGAAAATGAATAAATGCCTTATGTTCATCTTTTTCAACTCCAATTCCATATCGATGACAGTATCCTACGCTATATGTACCTTTATCATATCCCATTTCAGCTGATTTTTGGTAATAAATGAAAGCCTTATGTTTATCTTTTTCAACTCCAATTCTATTGAAATAACAATATCCAAC